TTGATCAAAAAGCTTAGAGAGCTTGATCTAAGAGCATTGCTCGATCAGAGCATGGAGAGCTTGATCTGAGAGCATGACTCGATTAGAAAGCTTGAAGAACTTGATGTGAGAGCATGGCTCGATCAAAAAGCATGAAGAGCTTGATTTGAGAGCATAGCTCTATCAGAAAGCACGGAGAGTTTGATCTAAGAGCATAGCTCGATCAGAAAGTATAGAGAGTTTAATCTGAGAGCATGACTCGATCAGACAGAATGAAGAGCTTGATCTAAGAGCATAGCTCAATCAGAAAGTATGGAGAGCTTGATCTGAGAGCATAACTCGATCAAAAAGCATGAAGAGCTTGATCTGAGAGCATTGCTCGATCAAAAAGCATAGAGAGCTTGATCTGTGAGCATTGCTTGATCAAAAAGCATGGAGAGCTTGATCTGAGAGCATTACTATAACACCCATATCAAGATACGTAATTTTACTTATGCCCTAATACCCTTCGTTGGATTTCTTTGAAGTTACCTTAGACAAATGTGAAGAAAATTCCTTACAAGTTCATTAAGGGTAAAATGGTCTTTTCACTCAAAATTAGTTAAAATTATGGGGAGTGAAAAGAGATAGAATTTCATGAAGAATGCAATAAAAATAAGGGCATTATGGTAATTGACTAAGGGACATAGATGGAATTTTAGTGAAAGTGTAAGGGCAAAATGGGAATACATGCATATATTATTTGATATAAGGCTTTATTTGAAGAAACCCTAACATACTTCAGCCTTTGTTAACACCACCTATACCCCATTTTCTCTCAATTTCCTTCACTAAATTTCAAAGGAAAATCATAGGATTTGGTTTGGATTTTTTGAGATTTTCAATCCTAAAGCATCCTAAGGTAAGATTCTAGCAAAAGGAATGTGATTAAACTTTAAAGTTTTAATTTTTTTATGGTTTTTATATGATCTAGGTCCAAGAGGAAGAGATTTAGAGCAAAAGGGAAATGATCTCACATATTCAAGGTAAGTAAACCTAATTTGAACCTTAATTTGAGCAAAACTTGTGTTAAATGAATTTTTGCATGTTTATATGTGATGGTATAAGAGAATTGTGGGCTGTTTTTTATGTTTATTGATGTATTAATTCTAGCCATGAGAAGTAGTGTATGGTTATGTGAAGATTTGGTGAAGTTGTGGAAGATTTGGTGTTGAGATTTTTTAAGTATAGAGAATTTTTGAAAATGGACAGGTTTGATGCTATAATTAGTGAGTTTTTGGCTCACAATTTAGTTGAATTAGAGAGTTGTGGAAGTGTAGCCCACAAGGTAGTTGCATGTGCATATGAAGTGTTTGATAAAAATCCAAAGAGAAAGTGCATGCATGAGTTGGCTAAACCCTAATGAGGAAAGGGTTAGAGAAAGGCAAGACTTGAAGTTTGAATGTATATTATTGATCTTTTAACTTGTTTTCACAAGGGAGAATGGTTAGGAAAGGTTAGGGAGTAAATGGAGGTAAATAGGTATGGAAAAGCCTTAAAGTAGGCATGTTACTAAGGTTGCCCTGTCAAATGTGTGACATTCTGAGTGATTTTTGGGCATCTTAGCTATCAAACTGGGTTGAGTCGTAAACATAAAATTTTTAGCCCTTTCTCTAAGCTTTAAAATGAGACTAAGATCATAGCTCAAGCTATGCCTTCTTGAATATAACGTGTGCAGAATGACTATCTCAAAAGTGCTTCCACTTTATTAGTTTATTTGTAGTCTAATAATCTATAATTGATTCCAAGTATGAAAATGATGCTTAAAGGGTTGTGAAGCATGTTTGAATGAGTGGTCTTTATGATTATTTAATGATTGTATGAACATATATATTTGATGTAATGAATGACCATGGAGGCTATGTGTAATATGTTATATATCACCTAAGTATGAGCTTGTGCATATATAAACAAGCCTAAGGATGATATATTTCTATGAATTTATTATGCATCCACAAAATGGTCATGATTAAATGATATGTTCATATATGGAAGTTTATGTTTTTTAAAGAATGCAAGTGTAGAATTTCCATAGCTTGGAAATTCATGTTGAAATGTGCATAGTATCTCTTTCTAAGGTTTTTGCGATGGGGAACCCGTGAGTGATAGAGATGCTCACATACACGCCGCCACGAGCAAGCGGCATCAGCAAAGAGATATAGTATTTGTACAGTCCGTGAGTAGTGCATGTAGATAAGGACTGTACCCACTCACATGGCCAGGATTCCAAATCCATGCATCAACCTAGTCCGATCGGCAAACTAGAAAGAAGAAAGAAAAGAAAGAGAAACAGAGAGGAAAAGAAAGAGACACAACATAAGAGAAACAAAAACAAAAAAGAAAAGAAAGTTCTTTTCTCAGGAAAGTTTTATTATTCTGCATATGTATTATGCTATTTACATGATTCAGTAGTTTTATGTGCTCGACGATGTACAGTTTTATTCATTGTCTTTGCACATTGGTAAGTAGCAAATCAGAGTATCAGAAAAGAATGCAGAATATCAGAAAAGAATGCAGAATAACAGAAAGGAATGAATAATATTAGCAAAGAATAAAGTGAGAAAAGGAAAATCAGAACATGAGTAACGGAGGAAGAACAGTCGTGCAGTTTGGTTTACTTACTGAGCAATTAGTGCTCACTCCGTTATTTTACTGTTTTGCAGGTATTAGATGATTTGCAATCGGGTGGGACGTCAAGAAGTGGCGAGAGTTTGACGGTACTGTTCAAGATTACCTTATGCTTACTAATATATATCAATATTTTGTGTATATATTTATACGAATTAAAATTAGAATTTTCGGATTTTACATTATGTATATATGTTTATAAAAGTTATTTAGTGAATTTTATCATATATTTTTCAAAGAATTACTAGTTATACAGTGTATTACAATTGCTCGATCAGAAAATGTAGGAAGCTTGATCTGAGAACATAGCTCGATCAGAAAGCTTGGAGAGCTTGAAAGCAATATTATGTTTCCTTACATAGTTATTGTATTTACACTTAATAATAACTTCATACAAGCAATTCAATTCTTCTCTTTCAAAGATAGCTGCATATTACGACTCTCTTCAATAGTATCTCCTGCCATCTCAAAGATATTTTTTAGACATACTTCGCCTCTCTTCAATTACCTCTCTCGCCCTTTCAATTCTTACGATATAGATTAGACTCTATTCAATTGTCTCTCTTGCCCTCTCAAAGATAATTTTTCTTGCATACTCTGGTTCTCTTCAATTGTCTCTCTTGTCCTCTCAAATCTGACATAATAATGTACGAACAATTGTTTTTCTTTCTTTCTTTTTTTTATTTTTATTTTTGTTTTGGGGTATTTATTAGCTACCATAGATTTTATTTGATAAGAGAAAACCAGAGGAAAGGGTGAACTGTTTCAGCCGAGATATATGAAGGTTCATACAAATTGCCAACACTCCAAGCCATATTTCTTGTCACTCAAATTAATCACGTGGAATATCAACCCACTCATCTTTGCTTCAACTCGAAGAGAATTTTACCGTCATATCCAAGAAGAGATCCAAAGGAGAATATTATTTTAAACGTCATGTCCCCACCCGCTTGCTTTTGTCTCCCATCTTTCATGTTTCAAGCTCATTGTTTTCTCCTCACTTTAACAACTTCGTTGAGCAAAAAGATGGAGATATTTTAGCACCGCACTACCTTGTCAATGTTGACACTAGCAATTGGGCCTCACTCGTAGCCAAACATTTTTAGGGCCCTTGGCCCTACTCCATCATTGGTACAAACAACTCAACCTTTTGTCCACTACAAATATCAGCTTTCTCCCAGGCTTAAAACAAACAATAATGCTAAACTTACCGATTAAACTACCGATTTGATATACTGACTCATGTAAATTGAGTTAAATTTTGAGATTTGGATAATTAGGTAGTGGGTCGATATGTCAAAATCGGTAGTTTAATCGGTAAGTGTAGCAAGTTTCTAAAACAAAAGTAACTTATAACATTTCTCAAGAAATTTAGCCTCTTTGTTACGCTATTTTAAATTTTTTTTTTTTTTTTTATCTTATTTGAATTAAAAAATAGAATATGTGTTTATTTACTTATTCGGCCGATTCATTCAGAAATTAATCCAACTCAAATAGGATTTTTTGTCTCAAAATGAAAAGTGGTTGAGACTCGTTTTCCATTATCTTATTCTATTCAACTCAAAATATTTTTTCAACTGTATTCAATTAAAAAAAATTACCTTTCACTTCTTTCAATCTGAAAATTAATCCACCCAAGACTACCACCGTCTGCCAGCAACCATCGTCAGCCACTGATCATCGCTGTTGTTGTCATCGTGGCAAGAATAACGCACGACATCTCGATCTAACTAGTCATGCACCGATCTTGCTGTTTCCAACCAAATCCAGCCGTTAACAGTTAGATCTATGTGTCCGTTGATGACAGCCAGGTTTTGACCGTTAACGATGACTAAATATCAAACTGTAGATTTGGCTTTTTCCACTGTGGATCTAGCCGAAGACGATTATATCGATGCACGACCGACCAGATTCAACCGGTCGTTTGCAGTTCTAACAACTATTGACTGCTATCCAACTGTGGTGGCTGACTATTCTCTTAGGTGGCTAGGATGCTTTAGTTATTTTTAAACTTTTATCGTGGAAGGTATTTAGTTAGATTAACAAATATAAAGGGTTAAAAAAGAATGTAAAATATTTTAAGAAAATGTAAAAACAACCCTTCAACATTTTATCAAACTCTAATTATACTTTTTAGATATTTTACCAAATACAATTTCAGAATCGGATCCAATTCGATTTAATTCAACTCAACACGGCTTAAAATAGTTTTTCAAATAATCTACCAAACAGGCCTTAACTATTTAAAAGTCTTTTAAAGGCGACAGAATAACCACCTAAATTATGTCCACAGTTTATAATATTACAAGCTTCGTTTATTGGAGATACCCAAGAAGCATAAATTTTCTACAAAATCAAAGTTGACATTACCAAGCGCCTGTTTTCTGTTTCGTCGTCATCATACTTACAGCTTACTCCTCTTTAAAGGTCCCATCTCTTTTGCCTTGGCCCGTAGAATATGCTTCTGAATCTTCCCAGTTGCCGTCTTCGGTAATGGACCAAATATTACAGACTTTGGAACCCAGTAAGCAGGCATCTTTGACCGGCAGAACTTCATTATATCTTCTGCCAATCGTGGCTCATCTTTATCGGCTCCTTGCTTCAGTGTTATGAAAGCACAAGGAGACTCTCCCCAACGTTCATCTGGCCTAGCCACCACAGAAGCCTCAAGAACTGCAGGGTGCAAGTAAAGTAAATTTTCTACCTCCAAACTACTGATGTTTTCACCTCCAGAGATGATAATGTCCTTTGATCTGTCTTTGATTTCTATGTAGTTATCGGGATGCTTTACACCAAGATCCCCGGAATGAAACCACCCATCTGCAAAAGCTTCCTCATTGGCTTTCGGGTTCTTTAAGTAGCCCTTCATCACACTATTACCACCAAACACTATCTCTCCTATGGTTTTTCCATCAGCAGGAACAGGTTTCTTTGTTCGAGTGTCAATGACATCTAAAAACTCTAAACCAATGTACCGTACCCCTTGACGTGCATTCAGGCGAGCTTGGGCTTCAGGCGGCAGCGAGTTCCACTCAGGCTTCCACGCACAAACAGTTGAAGGACCATAGGTTTCTGAGAGACCATATGTGTGGGTGACACGGAAGCCCTTCTGGGACATTGCAAAGAGAACAGATTGGGGTGGAGCGGCACCAGCTGTCATCACATTTACAACGTGGGGAAGGGGAAGGATAGTGTCCTCTGGTGAGGCATTGACTATGGTGTTGAGAACCACAGGTGCAGCACAGAAGTGAGTCACTCCATACTTGGCTATGGCAGAGTAGACTGCCTTGGCTGTCACCTGCAGAAAAAAATTTAATTAAGGCACATGAATATCTCAAGAGTAAAATTGTAGATTTCAGTACAGAACAGTATAGTAAAACCCTATGCCTAAGCTTAATAGTGACTTAGGGGAGAGCAAAGAACTACTAATCTTTAAACATATTTCCCAACCTCCGAGGGAACAAAACCAAATGGAAAAGATATCTGAAAATCATCAGTTCACACACATAGCATGATTGAAACTAACAGCTGCTTCAAACCACAGCTTCATTAGCATAGCAAGCGGTGAGTTGACAAAGCAACACCTCAAGCTCTTTTATAGTGAGAAAATCTGACTTCTACCTTTCTGGTCAAGATATTGCTGAAGTCAACAAAAAAATCTTATGATGAAGAAAGTGTGCCAAATGTAAGAAGTCCAATTTTTACCCACAGGGTCTAATAGTCAAATCACATTATAGGTTTTTTTTTTTTTTTTTTTTTTTTAGATGATAGAGTTGAGATAAGATTTCAAATACGTAGGATTAGGATGTTGCATGATCTTCAGCTACCTTAGTTGGAATCTAAGTCAATCTAAACATCTTCCTTTCAAATTGAGCAAATCTAAATATCTTCTCTCCTAATAGGAATTAGCCTCTCCGATTAACTGCACAAGAATAGGCCCCCAGGTGTTGGAGTGAGTAATCGCCCTAAAAACCATGTCTCTGATCTGGATGGTTGTCGCATTATAGTGCTCTCTCGAATTGAAGAACTTGAACTATGCTTGCCACGATCCAAGAGATCTGAGAATCTTGAACACTTGATCTCAAGTGATAGTGAGCTTATGAGATTAATCAAAGAGCATAAGGAGCTCAATTTGAGAGTGCGAGGAGTTCGATTAGAAAGAGCGGAAGCTTGATCTGAGAACATAGCTCGATCAAAGTATAGAGAGCTTGATCTGAGACATAGCTCGATCAGAAAGCATGGAGAGTTGATCAAGAGCATAGCTCGATCAGAAAGCATGGAGAGCTTGATCTGAGAGCACAGCTCAATCAAGCATATAGCGCTTGATCTGAGAGTATAGCTCGATTAGAAAACTGGAGGGCTTGATCTAAGAGCATTGCTCGATCCGAAAGCATAAAGAGTTTGATCTGAGACATGGCTCGATCAGAAAGCTTGGAGAGCTTGATTTGAAAGCAAGCTCGATCAGAAAGTATAGCGAGCTTGATCTGAGTGCTAACTCGATCAGAAAGCTTGGAAAGGTTGATCTGAGAGCATTGCTCAATCAGAAAGCATGGAGAGCTTGATTTGAGAGCATTGCTCAATCAAAAGCTTGGAAAGCTTGAATAAATATTGCTCGATCAGAAAGCATTGAGAGCTTATCTGAGAGATTGCTCGATCCAAAAGCTTGAAGAGCTTGTTTTGAGGGCATAGTTTGATCAGAAAGTATTGAGAGCTTGATCTGAGAGCATTGCTCGATCCAAAGCTTGAAGAGCTTGATTTGAGAGCATAGCTCGATTAAAAGCGCGGAGAGCTTGACTGAAAGCATTGCTCGATCAAAAAGCTGGCAAGCTTGATCTGAGTGCATTACTCTATCAGAAAGCTTGGAGAGCTTGATCTGAGAGCATTGCTCAATCAAAAGCATGGATAGCTTGATCTGAGAGCATTGCTCGATCAAAAAGCTTATAGAGCTTAATCTGAGAGCATTGCTCGATCAGAAAGCATTGAGAACTTGATCTGAGAGCATTGCTCGATCAAAAGCTTGGAGAGCTTGATTTAAGAATATAGCTCAATCAAAAAGCATTGAGAGCTTGATCTAAGAGCATTGCTCGATCAGAAAGCATGGAGAGCTTGATGTGAGAGCATTGCTCGATCCAAAAGCTTGGAGAGTTTGATCTGAGAGTATGACTCGATCAAAAAGCATGAAGAACATGATCTGAGAGCATAGCTCACTCAGAAAGCATGAGGGCTGATCTGAGAGCATAGCTCGATCAAAAAGCATGGAAGCTTTTCTGAGAGCATTGCTCTATCAGAAAGCTTGGGAAGCTTGATCGAGAGCATAGCTCGATTAGAAAGCACGAGGCTTGAACTGAAGCATTGCTCATCAAAAGCATGGCAAGCTTGATCTGAGTGCATTACTCTATCAGAAAGCTTGGAGAGCTTGATCTGAGAGCATTGCTCAATCAAAAGCATGGATAGCTTGATCTGAGAGCATTGCTCGATCAAAAGCTTGTAAGCTTAATCTGAGAGCATGCTCGATTAAAAGCATTGACTTGATCTAGAGAGTTGCTCGATCAAAAAGCTTGGAGAGCTTGATTTAACATAGCTCATCAAAAAGCATTGAGAGCTTGATCTAAGAGCATTGCTCGATCAGAAAGCATGGAGAGCTTGATGTGAGAGCATTGCTCGATCCAAAAGCTTGGAGAGTTTGATCTGAGAGTATGACTCGATCAAAAAGCATAAGAACATGCTAGAGCATAGCTCCCTCGAAAGCATGGAGGGCTGGATCTGAGAGCATAGCTCGATCAAAAAGCATGGAAGCTTTATCTAGAGCATTGCTCTATCAGAAGCTTGGAGAGCTTGATCTGAAGTATTTCTATATTAGAAAGCATGCGAGCATGATTAGAGCATTACTTGATCAAAAAGCTTGGAGAGTTTGATCTGAGAGCATTGCTCGATCAGAAAGCATTGAAAGTTTGATCTGAGATCATTGCTCGATCAAAAATCTTGGAGAGTTTGATTTGAGAGCATAGCTTAATCAGAAAGCATGGGAGCTTGATCTAAGAGCATTGCTCGATTAGAAAGCATGGAAAGCTTAATCTGATAACATTGCTCGATCCAAAACTTGGAGAGCTTGATCTAGAGCATGGCTCGATCAAAAAGTATGAAAAACTTGATCTGAAAGCATTCTCGATCAGAAAGCATGGAGAGCTTGATCTATGACATGACTCGATCAGAAAGCAGAGAGCTTGATCTGAGAGCATGGCTCGCTTATAAAGCATGGAGAATTGATCTGAGGGCATTACTCAATCAGAAAGCATGAAGAGTTTGATCTGAGAGCATTGCTCAATCAAAAAGCATAGGAGCTTGATCTGATAGCATGGCTCGATTAGAAAACATGGAGAGCTTGATCTGAACATTGCTCGATTAAAAAGCACGAGAGCTTGATCTGTGAGCATTGTTTGATCAAAAGCATGAAGAGCTTGATCTGAGAGGATAGCTTAATCAAAAGTATAGAGAGCTTGATTTGAGAGCATGGCTCATCAGAAAGCATGAGAGTTTGATCTGAACATAGCTCGATCAAAAGTATGGAGAGCTTGATCTGAGAGCATGGCTTGATCAAAAAGCTTGGAGAGCTTGTCTGAGAGCATGGCTCGATCAAAGAGCATGGAGAGTTTAATCTAAGAGCATCTTTGATCGAGAGTTTAATCTAAGCATTGCTCGATCAGAGAGTATAGAGAGCTTGATCTAGAGCATTGCTCATCAGAGAGTATGGAGAGCTTGATATGAGAGTATAGCTCAATCAGAAAGCATGGAGTGCTTGATGTGAGAGCATTGCCGATCAAAAAGCATGGAGACTTGATCTGAGGGCATGATGCTCAATCAGAAAGCATGAAGAGCTTGATCTAAAGCTGACTCTATCAGAAAGCATGGAGAGCTGATCTAAGCATTACTCATTAGAAAGTATGGAGAATTTGATCTGTGAGCATTGCTCGATCAATAGCTGGAGAGCTTATCTAGATTATTGCTCGATTAGAAAGCTGGAGAGCTTGATCTGAGAGCATTACTCGATCAAAAGCATAGAGAGCTTGATCTGACAACTTACTCCATCAGAAAGCTAGAGATTTTGATCTATGAGCATTGCTCGATCAGAAAGCATGGAGAGCTTGATCTGAGAGCATTGCTTGATCAAAAAGCTTAGAGAGCTTGATCTAAGAGCATTGCTCGATCAGAGCATGGGAGCTTGATCTGAGAGCATGACTCGATTAGAAAGCTGAAGAACTTGATGTGAGAGCATGGCTCGATCAAAAAGCATGAAGAGCTTGATTGAGAGCATAGCTCTATCAGAAGCACGGAGAGTTTGATCTAAGAGCATAGCTCGATCAGAAGTATAGAGAGTTTAATCTGAGAGCATGACTCGATCAGACAGAATGAAGAGCTTGATCTAAGAGCATAGCTCAATCAGAAAGTATGGGAGCTTGATCTGAGAGCATAACTCGATCAAAAGCATGAAGAGCTTGATCTGAGAGCATTGCTCGATCAAAAAGCATAGAGAGCTTGATCTGTGACATTGCTTGATCAAAAAGCATGGAGAGCTTGATCTGAGAGCATTACTATAACACCCATATCAAGATACGTATTTAACTTATGCCCTAATACCCTTCGTTGGATTTCTTTGAAGTTACCTTAACAATGTAAGAAAATCCTTACAATTCATTAAGGGTAAAAGGTCTTTTCACTCAAAATTAGTTAAAATTATGGGGAGTGAAGGAGATAGAATTCATGAAGAATGCAAAAAAATAAGGCATTATGGTAATTGACTAAGGGACATAGTGGATTTTAGTGAAAGTGAAGGGCAAAATGGAATACATGCATATATTATTTGATATAAGGCTTTATTTGAAGAAACCCTAACATACTTCAGCCTTTGTTAACACCACCTATACCCCATTTTCTCTCAATTTCCTTCACTAATTTCAAGGAAAATCATAGGATTTGGTTTGGATTTTTTGAGATTTCAATCCTAAAGCATCCTAAGTAAGATTCTACAGCAAAGGAATGTGATTAAACTTTAAAGTTTTAATTTTTTTAGTTTTTATATGATCTGGTCCAAGAGGAAGAGATTAGAGACAAAGGGAAATGATCTCACATATTCAAGGTAAGTAAACCTAATTTGAACCTTATTTGAGCAAACTTGTGTTAAATGAATTTTTGCATGTTTATATGTGATGGTATAAGAGATTGTGGGCTGTTTTTTATGTTTATGATGTATTAATTCTGCCATGAGAAGTAGTGTAGGTTATGTGAAGATTTGGTGAAGTTGTGGAAGAT